CTACGTCCTGAATTTGCTAAAGGCACTCCTGAGTGCTATACTCAATTAGCAAATAAATGTATGGATGCTAATCCTTCGAGTAGACCAACTGCATCTGTTATCCATAATGAATTATCGAGATGGTATCGGATATTAAATGATAATATTGCGGAAGATAAAAATGAATCAATATTAAAAGCATTTCAATCTGCAGATGCAATTATTCCAACACTATCAACCAAAGTGTCAATTTGCCTTAAAGATAAACTTACAAGTAAACTGCTTAATTTTAAAAACCTTTCTAAGCCAATCAATTCTTCATTTATTTCACCTGCAAAATCGTTAAATACTTATGGTAAATAATTTATACTTATTATAACATTCAATTTTAATTTAATCGATAAAAATTTTACTTTAAATTTCTAGATTCTACGACTCTCGATTTTTCAATTTCTGATGACGATGACAATGGAACTTTACGTGTGTATTTAATAATTGTCGCGGCTGATGCTGAAATTTGGGGGCCTCGATTTGAAATATAAGCCCTATTAAAAATCCACATATACTTTAACTACTCTAAATCCTAACTAGAAATTGCTAGTGAAACTGGTGACTATCTACAGTAAAACCTGATTGTCTATTGAATGCAATGGCCAATCAGATTTTAGATAGTCACCAGTTTCACCAGCACAATTTAGTTTCACCAGCAACTCTAATCCTAAACCAACACAACCCTTAAAAAAAGCGAAAAAAAATATCCCAAAAATTTTTAAATTTTCATATTCAGATTTCAGCATCAGCCGCGACAATAATTTTAATTTACTAACCTATAATGATAATGTTAACTTATCGATTTAATACCTCCACAGCCAATGATGAAATATTATGAATGAATGAATTTTAAATTATTTATCCACCAATTATTTGGAAATATTTAACTCATAAAAGTTAATATTAATTTATTCGAAAATAAAGTCAGCTAATAGATTAGATTTTAATCAAGTTTATAGCTGCACTATCTGAATCAAAGAATTAATATAAAG